CTGGGGGGTGTGGGGGGAGACTCTAGGGGCATTCACAAGGCTAGTGATTGGAGAAAAAAATATCCGCTCCCAGGTTATGACCATGGCCAGCTCAGACATGGCTTTGTGACTTCAAGATCACCATAAATTTAGGAGGAGGTCAACTTTACAGACTGTTTACCAACTTGCCTCATTGGGGCTCTGTGAGGTGTAAAGGAATCTTTGTGTTCGAACACCTATTAGAGACCCCACACATGGCAGTAGGCTTTCAATGAGTGAGGTTGCCAGATGAATAAAATTTTAAATGTATCAAGAATTTTAGATGCACAATCAATCATTTTTTGTGTAAGTGCATCCTAACTGTTTGCATGGGATGTATTTGAAGTAAATAACCATTCATAGTTCATCTGAAATTCAAAGTTAATTGGGTGTTTTGGGGCCAGCCCTGTTTGGCTAGGCATTTATCCACGAGTGGGTAGGTAACTTTAGGTGTTTCATGAGGAAATTATTTTTACTCTTTCTTCTATTGCACACTAAATGGATTAAAGTTCTTTTCTATTGAAAGTTTTATGCACTAGAGTATGCTTTGTCTTTATTATGGTGGATGGCAGAACCTATGTCGAGCAGGCAGTTTGGGGGTCCTGGGGTATCCCTCATTCTGTTCACTAACATTTCCACAGCACTTGGCTCATAGTACTTGATCAATTGGGTGAATGAAGATGGTCTGAACGAACAGTCCTAACCTCTGTGCCAAGAAATGGGGTAGTTTGGATTCAGCTGGCTTGGTCAAATGTGGTAGTGGGCATAGGGGTGAAAAGGAATGTTTCTGAAATGCTTCTCAGATTGGTCCAGCAAAAGAATGATTGTCAGACAGATCAGTAGGTGAGAAGGAACAAATGTAGTTACATACACATGGAGAATTATAAGGCTGTAAATTCTAAAGTAAATGGAGGGTTTTTCCCTTGAACTAATGAATGCAGTAGAGGCAGGTAGGAAGCAAAAGCCTGCCACCCCAAAATATGACCTTAGCAAGAGGTTTATTTCATGGGTGGGGGTGCTCTGAGGGCTGGGTAGAATTTCTTGTGATGTTTATATCTAAACTTTTCTCTGTGCTTTTTTTCTGGAAAAACCTATTTCTTTTCAATGGAGAAAGCAGAAGTAGCCTTGTTTTCCCCAGAAAGTGCCCTAAACTGACTTGCCCTTTTGTCACCTAGCCTCCCTTGCCTCAGCTAAGTTATTTAAGATGTCATCTACAGGCACATGGATGAATCACCCAGTCACGCTGGGCCTCGCTCCTGCATATAGGAGGCATAGGCATGGTGCTATCATCAAACTCCGCTATGCTTGTTTCTCATGTCAATCTGTCTGGAGCTTGTTTGGTTATTTGACAGCCTAGAATAACCCAGAGGGTCTGGGATGACCAACATGCCCATCAAGGAAAGGAGGTCTCATGTAATGAGACAGGGTGACTCACGACCCAGTCCGATGCTCTAATGTTTTCTCTGCCATCAGATAAGTTCCTCCGATAAACCACCTCTAGTTTGTCCTTGAGAGACCTTCCATCGTACGTTTCTCTACTCCAAGCTTCCATCAACACATATTGGAAGAAACCTGCTCTGGACATCTTGGAAAATACCTATCTGAACAATTTTGAAGAGGCCTATCCTTCGAGGAACGCAGAAGGGTTACAGAGCTCCTGCGTTCCTGGCTCATACATGGCCCCTTCTACTATAGCGTGTAGTAGGCAAAATAACGTCCCTCCAAAGATGGACCAAGGGTTACCCAGAACCCCAAACTGCTAAAGGATGCATGCTCTCAAAGGATCCAGTCATCCATGTTCACAAAGGCAAAGAAAGCAGATTCTCAGTGTGAAATATTTTTAATAGTTATTTAGGAGTAGTTTAGAGAGAGAGAGAGAGAGAGAAAGAGAGAGACAGAGAGACAGAGACAGAGAAAAGGATATTCCTAGTAGAACTCAGAAAATCACCCAAATCTTGTGGGCAAATACCCTGCCAAAAGGCTTTACCCAAGCAAGGCTATTGAGGTCCAAGAGCTTGCCACAAGTCTAAGGTATCTTCTGGCAAAGAACAGCCTTAAAAGTGGTTAGAAGGAAGTTAGGCTGATTCTGGAGAGTTGGGACAGAGAAAAATCCTAAGTTTAAAATGCACCTCAAAACCAACATGAGGTCAAAACAGTGGCTGCCACTGTCTCTGCCAAGGACCAGACCAGCTTTCTCACATGTTTCTCACCCATGTGTCTCCTTCAAGGGCTTTTCCAAAAGTTTCTTCATGTCTCTCCTCCATGTCACCTTCAGCTCCCTCGGTTCAAGTCAAAACTGGGGAAGCAAGAGGAGATGCCCACCTGACTTCCACTCTGAAATGATCACCTGGCCATCAGCTTCTCCCCTGGCTCCCAGTGGCTCCCACTCAGGAAGTCCAGTCCATAGCAACTGGGACTTGTAGTTCGAAGTCAGCAGCATGTACCTGGGGGTGGTGAAAATCGTCCGATCTCTTCCTAGAAGTGTATCTGTAACAAAGATGTTACATAGCAAAAGGGACTTTGTAGCTGACGCTGCAGGGTAGGATCTTAGATGTGCAGAGTATCCTGAGTCCCCCTCCCCGCCCCCCCATTGGTCAAATGTAATAACAAGGGTCTTTCTAAGACAGAGGTGGGAGGGTCAGGAGATAAGACTGAGACGGTGGAAGTCAGAGGCTGGGTGATACTATACCCTGATACTGAAGGTGGAGGAGGGGGCTCCAAGTTGAGAAATGCAGGGGTCTCCAGTAGTTGGAAAAGACAGAGAAATAGGTTCTCACCTGAGGCCTCCAGAAGGAATATTGCTCTGTCAACGTATTTCAAACGTTTGATCTCCCAAACCTGAAGACAACACCTTTGTGTTGTTTTAAGCACTAAATTTGTGGTGACTTGTTAGAATAACAATTAAGTAATAGGAAAATAATACAAAGGGGGGTTATGTAATAAAGAGATGTTTGGTGAGCTAGAAGCCTCCCCACCTGTGAGCAGTCAGTCCCACAGGGATTTCCATGGGGCCAGTGAAAGGAGAAGGACAGGAGAGCGACAGACATCAGCATATGGCAGACAACACACAATGGGCAGATTTTCAGGAGCGGAGAGTGTGAGTGTATTCATCTGTTCGGAGTGCATCACAAAATACCACTTCCTGGGCAGCTCAAAAAGCAGAAACTGATTTTCTCACAGTTTGGAGGCCGAAAGTCCAAGATCAAGGTGTCTGCTGGGTTTCTGGCCTCTCCTTGGGCTGCAGTCGCCTGCTTAATGAGACCTCACGTGCTCTTTCTGCCATATACATACAGCCCTAGTCTTTGTGTCCAAATGTCCTCCGATTATAAGGACACCAGCCAGATTGAATTCTCCCAGGGTTCCAGGTTAATATAGGAATTTGGAGAGGATGCCATTTAGATCCCAATAGAGGAACAGCACAAAATGGAGTTTGCAAATGGAAGAACCGTCTCCAAAATAACCGGTTAGTGCTCCAGATTGGACTCAGGTGCGACCCAGCAGATGTGACAATTCACTGCAATGTAAATGTCAGAACGGAAGAATGGGCTTTGGTGAGCCAATTGCACCACTGGGTCTATGGTTGAAGATTAGGTAACAGTATCACAGTTATACATCAGGTTTTATTTCCTTGTTTTGATAATATGTTATGGTTATGCCGACGTCAACATTTGTCACTTGGGTGACAGGTATATGGGAACTCTAGACTATGTTTGCAAATTATTTAAAGTCTGGAATTATTTCAAAGCACGAAGTTAATAAAGCCAAACCAAATGGGGCAAGCAAATAGCAGAGAGAGGGAAAGAGAGAGGAGAGCTGGGGAAGAAGGAAGAGAAGAGGAGAATCATCACTGGCTGTGACAGGGTTTTGCAGTCCTAAAGACCACCCACTTCTGGCAGAGTCTGGGATGTCAGCGTGGTGCCCACCTCACACCCTCCATTTTTAACTTTATTTATTTATTTATTTATTTATGCATACAGAACTGGAGTCCAGGGCGATTCACCAGAACAGGCAGATCCACTAAGTACACTGCTGAGGGGAGCAGCGGGCCTGTCAGAAGAGGTCTGCTACACCAAGTGGTCACCTCTGGGGCTGGGGATCGAACTCGCACGAAAGCGGCAGCGGCCAGCTTGCAGTGCTGCGTCCCAACCCGCTGCGCCACCAGGGAGGGCCCCATTTTTAACATCTAACACTGTTGTGTGTGTTGAACCCCTTGTGGCGGGGTGGGGGGCGGGTCAGAGCCCTGTTAAGTACACCACCATTTTGGTAACTAAGCGTCTTCCTTTCCCTACACCCCTCCCCCCATTTTTTTAAAAAAAGGATATAATTCACCATTTTGAAGTGTACAAGACAATGGTTTTTCATTACGTCTCCAACAGCGTGCGACTATCGCGCCTGTGCACAGAGCATTTCTATCCTCCCAGAGATCCCCTCACCCAGAGAGCTGTCACTTCCCTTCCCTTCCCCAGAACGTCCATTCTCCCTGACAACCACTAGTCTACTTTCGGTCTCCAAGGATTTGCCGCTAGGGCTATTTCAAGCAAACGCAATCCTGGCCCGAGCGGTCCAGCCACCTTTCACAGGCTCGGCCCCCACGACGGCCTGTGGCCACCGATTGGATGGCGCGGCCTGGGTGTGCGCCGGGCGCCCAATCGCTCTTGAGCATCTGGACGAGGCAGGTGCCGGCCGCTGGGGAGGCCGGCCGCGGGCTGGGGCGGCCGCGGGCGTGGTCCGCCGCGTCGAGTGGCAGTGAATTGTCCAAAGGGG